AAACTCGAAAGAGGAATGCACCATTTAATAAGTATAACCAAAAAAGGTCAAGAGTAGTAGTAATTACCTATCAGTTTTGTTGAATTTCTTCCTCGATCCAGAGCATGCATAGCATCAATTAACCACGTATTCGTGTCATAACATAATTTTGAGATACGAGCTCTCTCATATTTTACTAGTTCATTTATCCCTTCCCATGATTATATAATCCAAAACACTAAGAAATACTGCAGATGTCTCTCGCAAAATAATGGATTAGTTATCTGCATTAAACCCATTTTCTGACAAATGTAACTTGAATTTTGATATGTTCAAACTAGTTCCTACAAGCTACTCTACAAATTTAGGAGTGCAATGCATGCCCCAGGGGCGGGGCATATCTAGTGAAACATTCCCTCAGGCTCCCAAACATTTTGAAAAAAATAACATAAATATAGACCCTAAAAAAAAATTTTAGGTCCTCAAATTTTGTTTTAACATAAAAATCGCTACAAACTCCCAAAATCTCAGGGCCGACCATGTGCATTCTGTAGGGGTCCAATCCACAAAATCTAAATCACTCAACATACTTCAGTATTTGAATTAAGTTAAACATATAAAGGTGAAATGCAAATAAAAGACATAAAGTAAAAGCGGTTGCAAGTTCAGACAAAAAAATGCGCTAGACTCAGAAAAGTTATCAAGTAAATTAGAATTGCAGACCAAGCTAATTGCTAATGGTTTTATGTAGAACAAATTCTTGAACTCAAATCGCAATATTCAAATCAACCCAACTTATGTAGTAGCTATGTCTAGATCCTAAAACTTTAGATTTATTTGTGAATTTAACAGTTCAGACAATTATTAAGTGCACATTTGATAAATTCACAAAATCCCTAAACCAAATCTCTTTTGCACTTGATAAGTTCACAAAATCCTTAACCCAAATCTCTTTTCAGATATGTATTTTGTTCAGATATACGACTAGTTCATGCCATCAATTACACTTCGTATCTACCAATTATCTTAAGATCTAGAATACATGTTGTCATTCTAGAACTAGCTAGTTTTAAGTTTAATTTAGATGAAAAATATAAGATAATAACTCATCAACTGTAGAAGAACCCTAAATCTAAAAAGGAGATTACTAAATCATAGTTTGAATTAATTTCATAAAGAAACCAATAAGAAAAAAATAAGAGTTCAAAATCTTCTCTCTACTAAGTTCTCATTTGTCTCTCCAAAAGTCTTAAGCTATGTCCAAGTCTGAATTATGAATTACAAAACTCTAAAAATCCTAAACAATGTGTAAAACACGAATTGAGCTTGTTTGTAAATAAGTATAAATTTGGGTCATTCTTTAATTTCTTGAAACTTGATAAAAAAATTGTGGAACAGCTGGATATGGGTGTCGACGCCGACACCAGTTTCAAAGATCGAATCCAACTTCAGATTTTCAACTCCAATTTACCCATGCTCCAAAATGCTAAGGAATCTCCAGTCTTGTCCAAATCATATATGAACAACGACTCGAAACATACATACAACTCTAAAACAAGAATTAAATCATAGTCAAAAGAAGAATTATATCTCGTCATAAACACTCATGTTTACACACTTAAGTTATTAGACATGGATACAAGTGCAAAAGGAATCAATTATATCTGGTCAACTATTAAACTAGGAAGTTAAAAGAAAAGCGTCGTTTAAGAATTTAAATATTTATTCTATGTATCTTTTCAAATTAAAAAGGATTTACTCCTTGATAAAGAAAAGGGCTTTAATCTAGTAAAAGTTAAAAGGTAAAAACAAAAAGATAAGTTTATCCTCATAGAGTATCTGGAAATAACAGAAAGTAAAAAAAACAACGGTAAGTACTTTGCCTGAGTACACAAGAGACATACAAAGAAAGCAGGAACAAGATAAGGGGTTTAAAACCATCTGCCTTCTCCTCTTATATATATATATCTCTCTCTAACCTCTTCAGTGATTATCACTAATGGCGAATTCTCTCTTCTTCATGCCAACAAACCAAAACTCCACTGAAAACCCAAATGATAGTGTGAGAAACACTTACCCAGTCAACGGCTCGGGTGAGATCCAGACACAGCCGCCACAGAACACTCGTGGTCGGAAACCGGGATCTAAAACCTGTCCGCAAAAACCGAAGAAACAGCCGCAGAGAGGGATGGGTGTAGCAAGGCTCGAGCGACTCAGAATCGAAGAAGAAAGGAAAAACATGCTCATGGCCCTAGGAGGAAGAGCTAGCCCTAACGGTACCCTATCACCTGACCCAGGTGTTGTGTTACAAGGCTTCCCAAGCTACGCGGGTGGGCCCAACATGTCTGTCGGAGGATATACTCTAAATAGGGTTGTCGGGTCGGGTCAGATCCCGGTTTATAACCCCTCCAATAATCGCTGTGATACTTGCTTCAAGGTTTCATATATAATTGTTTTTTTTTTCATCTAAGATAAATATGATTGATTGATAATGGTTTTGTCATTTTAAGGGTTTTGATTTTTATTTTTTTTGTTTTTATTGTAGAAGCAACGTATCGATGGAGATCAAAATGTGGTACGATCCAACGGTGGTGGTTTTTCGAAATACCCAATGGTTCCACATCTTGTTTCACCAGATCAGAGGAGCCAAGGCTTCTTATACGATCATAGAGTCGCCAGTTATTCAACTCCACCTTCTGCTTCCAGTAATCAGGTTTTTAACCAGGCGATAAGTCATAGGGTACTGATCAGTCCATTTTGAATATGTATTGAAAGATGTGTATGCATTTATAGTTGTTGATCTTATTTTTTGTATCAATTAATGGTGTATTAGGGCTCAATGGAGGAAACTGGGAGCGAAAACCCTAGAAATGAAACAAGAGATGTGAAGGAGTACGAGTTTTTTCCTGGGGCCTATGGTAATAAACCAGTTTCATCAGTGTCTACATCACTAGGTGATTGCGGTCCTAGCACATCCACCATCGATTTGTCCTTGAAGCTTTAAATGTTTTTTCAAAGTATTTTTTGATACATCTCTGGAGAATTTTCACCTCTTTTTCTTTATACAAAATATAAACAAATCTGTCTTTTTGATTTTGATATAATTTAAGTACACAAGAATGTATGGAACAGAAGAAAAAAAACCTTTTTGGTGTATGCATTTGAAGGCTGAATCGAAAGAGAGGTTCAGCTTTTTGATTTACTCTTTTGGTTGTTTGTTGTGAGATTCTAAGCTAAACACTTAGACATATGTTCTCTGTTCTCTACCTTAAGTGTGTCATAAAATTTCACTCCTTTCTCTCTCTCTAGAGCTGTGTCAGAACATCTCTTGGGGCTTGGATCCATTTTGTGTTTCTTTAGTTAGACAATGATGCTGTCATGATTCATGTTAGCACCTAATCCTCCGATTATGAACTGTGGGCCTGATTTTCTTGTTAATTTGATGAGATAAATATATCAAATTGCTCTTCATTGTAGTTTGTCCAGTGATATTACAATGAAGAGCATATGCATATTAGCATGTGTAAAATATAGGTGGTACAGCTTTGTTTCAAAGTGCTTTTGGTTCATAAATAGTATATTCAAACAAATATACTTAAAAATCTCGTATTTAATCTGCTTTATACGAAATCTCATTCACATAAAATATGAAACTGCATCAAATACAATTTTTTTTTTTGGCTTTTTATCATTTTTTATGTACATTTTTTGGCTTTTTTGGATGTAGAATGTTGTCAGTCTTCTTTATAGTCCGGCCAAAATCAGTCAGATACTCTGAAATTTTTATTACATTTGATCGAAGTCAAATACAATGCACTACAAATTGGGTTCTAAAACTCATTTCAGTATAATATGTTTGAAAATTTTGTGATACAAGTGATTTCATATATACATATCTTATACAATTTGCAGTCTTCTACAGTCAAAAATATCTTTTGTGTTAATTGGGCACATGTTCAAACTAAATTTTAGTCAATAGAAATATCATTCTGAAGAATAACTCTATCATATCATATCTGATTTACATAGTAAAATACAATGCATCGCTTCCTGACCTTCTATTCCTAAATAATCAGCACATATATGAAATCACTTTCAAAATTATTATGAAATCGAAATGAAGCTAAAGTGAAGAACGGCTAGTCACTAGTTTGTAGTCATATCCAATAAATCTGAGTAGTCAGTCTTTAAAGATCTCAGAGTCCAAATAATCCAGCACTCATTTGATTTTCAGACACCACCTTAAGCTATTAATTGGGACATTATCGATCTGTGAGGGCAACAATTTGACAAATTGGATTTTTGGATATTCAAGGGAGACCTGCCTTAATAAGTCCGTTTGGAAGATCGTCAGGATCCTGTTAAGATTTGTTTTTTCAGCATTCCGTTTTAAGATGACAAAAAGGTTGTAAAGTGTTGACTAGAAAAATATTTCTTTCCATTAAAAAGTTTGTTGTTCGTTGTCTTCAAAATGTAAATCTTTTAGCAAAGATTTTCAAAATACAGTAACTTTTACATGTTATAGTCTTATAGATGTGTGTGTGTGTGTGTTTTCCTGAGAAAGTTTATATATCTTTGTCTTAGAGTTTTTTTTCGTAAAGATGCATTATACATGCACTTTAAACAACTTAAATTCATCACCATCATTATCGAAGCCAAAATATTTGTAATAATAATGTCAGATAAAATAAATGAAATGACTACATGCACTTTAAACAACTTAAATTCATCACAATCATTACCGAAGCCAAAATATATGTAATAATAATTTCAGATAAAATAAATGCAATAAAGGACTACCGCTCAGCAAACAGAAACCTATGTTTTGGTATATTAGCAGAATAGTATGTGTGTGACATTTTGATATAGAATAGGGAAAATAGTCATTTCGTAACCCAATATATCGCGATATGTTCAATTCATATCGAACTTATATGATTGTGAAAAAATCTATATATACTTTCAAAAAAATTCAAATAGCATATCCATTATTTACTTTTTTGGAGAAATCATATACCATTTGTCACATCAGCTATCACATCATCTAACTGACATAAATGTTATGTAAATTAAATTTGTTAAAGAAAAAATGTACATGTATAATATTTTTTTAAAAAAATAAGATAAAAAAGCTTTCATTAAAATATTCTTTTTTCAAATGTAAACATTTATATTTTTGGCAGCTTATAAATTCAATGTAAACATACATATGAATATATGTGTTGTGATGATTCAAATTCAGTATTAGTGTTGTTGTTGTCGTCTTACTCTAGATTATTCTTGATTATGATATTTACATTTAAAGAGTTTAGGTTAACATATCATAAATTTTTAATCGCTTAACACAAAATTATCCGCATGTTTACATAACCGATCTAGGAATTTATGTACTAACACTTAACAAGATTAACATAAGAATAATTAATAAGTTTAAAACATTATAACGAATATATCTCTTATATAAAATTAAAATTTTATTATTTAATTAATTTTTGTTTGTTTTACTAAATTATAAAATTTATAAGCTGTCAATCTTGTTTTATTTTCAAATTATTGTCCATGTGGTATTTTCATTGGCAAATCAGATGATATGACATCTAATGTTAGCACTGGTGTATGATTTTTCCAAAAGTGTAAATAGCATATATGTATATAGCACAGTTATATTATTGCACGGTTATATAGAGGCAATTCCTTTAGTGCCCCTATTTCTCATTCTCTAATCTTTCTAGGACACGTTTTTTCTTTTAATTTTATATGTCAAACAAAAAATCATAAAATTAATCTGGAAACGTGAATATTTTTAATTTGATTTATAGAATTTTATAAAAATATTTCAAAATTCAAAAAAAATTAAATTTTCATATTTTCACGAAAATCATCAAAATATGATTAAAACGATTTTAAAATATATTTTTTTTCGAAATTTGATCACTATAGAATTTAAATATTTGTCCAAGGGTTCACTAATCCATTGCGGGGGTTTTTGTTTAGTTTTGAACATCGGGAAGGATTTAATTAGGGGTTTGGGTTTTGATCAAAAAAAAATTATGAAATAGGGGTATAAGAGATCTTGTGAGCACATAAAAGATTAGCTTTCAAAAAATAGGGGCAGGAGAGAAGATGCCTCGGTTATATAAACCGAATATGAATTAATCATGTATATAGGAGTCACCACCTCAAACGCCCTTATTCAAAAAATTTAAATCACTTATATCCTTCACTAATCTTTATACCCTTCATCATTTAATGAAAATCCCAAATAAATCATTCCCAAGCAATCAAAACTAAACAAAAACCCCCCCTATGGATCAGTGAACCCTTGGGTAAAATATTTAAATTCTATATGTTTCAAATTCGTCAAAAAAATATTTTAAGATCGTTTTTTAATCATTTTTGATGATTTTCGGAAAAATATGAAAAAACAGTTTTTCGATTTTTGAAATTTTTTTATCAAATTCTATAAATCAAATAAAAAATATTGACGTTTTCATTTTAATTTTATGATTTTTCGTTTGACATATAAAATTAAAAGAAAAAAGTGAGGACATTTGAGCTTTAAAATTTTCAAATAAGGGCCCATGAGACAATTACTCTGTATATAGCGATTTATTATTGAGGGTATGAGATTTGCCGTTTTCTCGTTAAATACACAAATAGCTTTCCTACCCCAAAAAAGTATATGATATATGGGCCCTCGTATAAAAAACACGGCCCATTCAAAACTAGAAGAAACTGATCAGATAAACAAACCCATGACTCAGCTGCTTCTCAGCACGTTCCCGTTTTTTAAAAACTTTTAAAAATTCTCAACTTATATCCATTTATCCAAACTCCAAACCATTAGCACTAAATAAACGCATCAAAATCAAAACGTTAAGCATACTCTTCTTCATCCTCTTCAATCACAAACATGAACCCAGCAGACTCCGATCACCCTCACCTCCCCACCATCAAGATCCACCACCCATCCTCCCCTCGCCACTCCCACCACCACCACCACTCCACCCCCACCCCCACCGCCAACGCCCGCCGCAAAATCGGCGTCGCCGTCGACCTCTCCTCCGAAAGCTCCTTCGCCGTGCGCTGGGCCGTCGATCACTACATCCGCCCCGGCGACGCCGTCGTCCTCCTCCACGTCTCCCCCACCTCCGTCCTCTTCGGCGCCGACTGGGGCCCGCAGCCGCCTCCCTCCTCCGCCACTAGTCAGGCGGATTTCGACGCGTTCACGGCGTCGAAAGTCTCCGATCTGGCGAGGCCGTTGAAGGAGAGTGGGTTCCCGCATAAGATCCATGTGGTGAAGGATCATGATATGAGGGAGAGGCTGTGCCTTGAGATCGAGAGGCTGGGGTTGAGTGCGGTGATAATGGGGAGTAGAGGGTTTGGTGCTGAGAGGAAGAGAGGGAGTGATGATGATGATGATGATGATGATGGGAGGTTGGGGTCTGTTAGTGATTACTGTGTTCATCATTGTGTTTGTCCTGTTGTTGTTGTTAGGTATCCTGATGATGGCAATGATGGTGGGGTTGTGAATGGTGGTGGTGGAGCGGTTGTGACGGTTAAGTCAGTTAGGGATGATGATGATGGTGGGGAAGAACGTCATGAACATATTAAAGGTTAGGATTGTTGATGGGAACTTGAAAGTTTTGATCTTTATTGAGATTTGTTATTTGCTCTGTTTCAGCTTGTGGTTCTCTGTGGTTTTTTTCGTATTCTGTTGATTGCAATAGTTTGTGGTTAGCGTTGTGTTTGAGGATGTCATTGATAGGAACTTGAAAGATTTGATCTTTATTGAGATTTATTATTAATGTTCTGCTCTGTTTTCAGCTTGTGGTTCTCTGTGATTTTTTGTATTCTGTTGATTGCTATAGTTTGTGGTTAGCGTTGTGTTTGAGGATGTCATTGATANTCTGTTGATTGCAATAGTTTGTGGTTAGCGTTGTGTTTGAGGATGTCATTGATAGGAACTTGAAAGATTTGATCTTTATTGAGATTTATTATTAATGTTCTGCTCTGTTTTCAGCTTGTGGTTCTCTGTGATTTTTTGTATTCTGTTGATTGCTATAGTTTGTGGTTAGCGTTGTGTTTGAGGATGTCATTGATAGGAATTTGAAAGATTAGATCTTTATTGAGATTTATTATTAATGTTCTGCTCTGTTTTCAGCTTGTAGTGCTCTGCTCTGTGGTTTTTTCGTATTCTGTTGATTGCGATAGTTTTTGGTTTAGCCTAGTGTTTGAGATTGCCATTGATAGGAACTTGAAAGATTAGATCTTTATTGAGATTCTATACTGTCCACGCTTGATTGATTGATGTTGTTAATGTTATGCTCTGTTTCAGCTTTTAGTTCTCTGTGGTTTTTGGTATTCTGGTTATTGCAATAGTTTCTGGTGAGAGTAGTGTTTGAGATTGCCGTTGATAGAAACTTGAAAGCTTTGTCTTTCCTGTGATTTATTTTGGTATCCACGCATAAATTGATGTTCTTGATGGTCTACTCTGTTTCAGATTGTAGTTCTCTGTGGGTTTCGTATTCTCTTTCCCTTGACTACAATAGTTTCTGGTTAGCTTGTTTGAGAATGCCATTGATAGGAACTTGAAAGCTTTGATATTTTTGGTGATTTATATTTGTTGTTCATGCTTTCAAGTATTGATTGTGTTGTTGATGTTCTACTCTGTTTCAGCATGTAAGAGTCTTTTTTATCTAGCTTTCTGCTTTAGTATCTACTAGTAGTAAATGATGTTTAGTTCTGTGATTTGTTTATCTTCATGGTTACATTTGTTCTTCTTCTGCTGATAGTTATTCTTTGTTGCTGTGTAGATTGTATGTTATTTTCTCGTGGCTCTTTTGATAGAATCTAGAAGTTTAGGCCAAATCCTACTAAACTGTGCGAAAAAGCTTCAACATTTTTCTCACCTTTTGAATATTCAACACTGCTTTAATGTCTGGTGTTCTCTCTTTGGGGTTTGCCCTTCTTTGCTTAACGCGTTTTTTGGTTTGATTTGAATATTCTTAAACCTCTTAGTCCAGAAGATATTTTCTTTTGTTTTTTGGGTGTTGACTTGACTTGATGAAGAAATGAAGAACGAGTCTTCTGAGCACCTCAGCTTTACCTTTTTTCGTCAGTTAGTGAAACATGCATCTAATGAATGTGTTACCTCTAATCTGAAATGTAAACCAGTATCTTAGATGTAGTTGCTCAAATTAAAGTTTTGATGAATAATTGTCCAGAAAAAAAAGAGTTATGTAAAAGTTATAAAGAATTTTGGTTGCAATTGCATATATCTCGTTGATCTTTTGCTTGTTCTTCCTTAGTCTTTTCACTGGCTATACATGTCTGAGACATATCATATCTGTATGCAGGGATGCAGTATATGTTTGTGATCCGTCTTGTGTGCTCTTTAGATTCTAATTTTAGCTCTTTAAAATGTACAACTGTAGAAGTAGGATGACATTAAGCTTAAACTACTTCATAGGTCGTACCATTGCTGCATATGATTTGATTATTCAAAAGCGAATAAACAGTTAACCCTCTTCCTTTTTACAGATGAGTGATGCGCCTTAGCATCTCATTGGATTCACTCTCTTCACAGCCAGGTAAAATTATAAGCTACCACCACCATATGATGACTGAGTGATCTCTATTGATCATTTGTTTGTTCTTGATTCTCTTGAAATTCGTAGGTACCACTGATGAATAGAAACAAAGGGTTTAAATCGGATTTGTGCAGAGGAGTGTGTTCGTGTGTGTGTTTTGTGCTCTGGAATATCCTCTGGATTCATTATTAATTATCAGTCCTCTTTTTCTTTTATATGATTTTCACATTTAAGACAATGAAATAGTTAGTATGAACACTAAAACCCTTTTAGGATTATGATATTCATCTTCGATCTGATTTTAATACAATCCCATATGATACACAAACATGGATGATGGTTTGCTATATAGCATTGGTTCCAAACTTAACTAAGTTATTCATTCTTGGTTTGTCCCGATTTTTTATAACACTGGGTAAATTACTAGATATATCATTATATAATTTCTAATTTAGTTACATTTGATAGATCAAGTACTAGCATATGCGATATCATTTATGAACAATTTTATGGGTAATAATTTATTGATGAAACTCTCCTGAAACACTTGGAGTTTCTGAGATGAACAAATATGTTTTTCGCAGCTTATGATAACGGTTCAAAAAGTCTTTATCTCTGGATTTTTTTGTTAAGTTTTTCATCCTAAAATATGTAAAAAATTGCATTGTTTGCCATCCGAACTCCAAATATGGATGTAAAAAACTTTAAATTTTAACCATCAAAAGGTCTGTCCGTTAAAAGCTAGTTTGGGCGTTATATTGTAAAAGCTTTGTAAACTATTTATATGAACAACGATGATTAAAAAATTTCATTTCAGTTTTCATTTTGCATAGTCTGGCCTGTTTTGATTCCAGTTCAATAAATGATTCAGAAGACACAAGTCTCGTCACCTGTTTCAGTTTGGAATTATATCCATCATTTATGATGTCGTTCGTGTAAATGCAGGTCACGTTATGGGTTGAATTGAATGAATATTAGGTTGGTGATTAACTAGTGTACAGTTTAAGCTAATTGTCAAACTCAACGTATGGGATAAAGACTTTGTTCATTAGCTTTTTGGTTTTGACTTTTGGAGCGATGGACTAAAGCTTGAATTCTTTGACCGATGGTCATGCTTTAATTGTGAAAGCCACCCAACTTCTTAACAAATCTTTTCTGCCGTTCAAAAAAAAAAAAAAATCTGTCTACTTTTATCAATGGGATATAAACATTTAAAGTAGTCGCAAAGAACCATATGTTTTTGATAATCTCACATAAGTAAATAATGAGTGTTCGATGGACACATCTAGGCATGGGCGTTCGGTGGTCCATTCGGTTTCGGTTCGGGTTATTTGGATTTTCGGATTTTCGGTGTTATGCTCACAAGTACCATTCGGTTTTTACTAATTATCGGATCAGATTCGGTTCAGTTCCTTCCGGGTTCGGTACGGATCGGATCTAACCAATGTTTAAAATCGTCCAAAAATATATTTTTTAAAACCTCGAAAATTGACAAAAAAGTTTCAAAATATATAAATTATTTACAAATCTAATTAAAAATTAGTTAAACTATCTAAATTAACTAAAAAGTATTCAAAATAACAAATAAAACAAACTACAAAAATATTTTGAATACTCTAAAATATCTAAATCACCTTAACATATATAAAAACATTAACATATTTAACTAATTTCGGATATGTTCGGATTCTAATTTGGATTTCGGTTCGATTCGGATGATAACCATAGTCCAAAGTACTAAGCTCATAAGTCCCGTTCGGATATTTTTGAAAAACAGTTCGGATTCGGTTTCGGTTTTTCCGGTTCGGGTTAAGGTCGGTATTTCGGGTTAAGTTAAAAACGCCCAGGCCTAGACACATCCAACGCTCCAGCCCCCACACTCTCATCTCATAAACCATATAATTTAATTTTTTTTAAACAAAGTAAAACGTGTTTTTGCTATTTTGGTAAGATCTGAATATTTCTTTATATATAGCCAAATCAGGAAAACAAGAGAGTAAATTATATTATCCAAAGTACTATTAGCATACAAACATGAGATCATGTGGATCAAGATAAGCTTGAGGGAAGTAAACATGGGGCTGGCATTATCTTCATGGACCAACGAAAATAGTTTGCACACTCGACATATATGACAGGTTCAATGTTCTTGGCGAGTGAACGAAACTTTCAGGACCCATTAAACTTTTTTTAAAAAAATCTTGAATTATATTCATCTATTTTCTTCAGTCCAGACAATTTTAATTCTGAGTGGTCGAAATAACAAAGCAAACCACAATGATATAGTATATGTTTTTCTTTACGTTATGTCAGTGTCCATTTGTCGCCATTTTCCGGCTCTTCCTTAGATCCATATATAAAATCGAAATATGAAATTAGAATCTGAAAATAACCATTTCAATACATATGAAATTCTGAATCATAATTACTTAGATAAACAAAATCAACGCGATAGTGATATTAATACAAACGTTTAAAATTAACAAAACAATTAACTACCTCATCACTAAAAACAAAGTATATTGTTAGAATCTAAATGGACGGTGGAGTTCCACCCAAAAGAGAAGAAGAATCAACGGCTGAGATTTCTCCTCGTTTTGGAGATGGCAAAGAACAGAGTTGAGCGACGACGAATCAAAGGCGCCGTTCATGTCCTCTCCTCCTAATATGATTACAGAGTTAATCGCAGCCGTTGATTTGAACGCGGTTCGTCTCTTAACACTTGCTTCAACGGCGGAAAACTGTTTGACTCTTGTGCTGAAGAGCATCCGATCTCCTCCTTCAATAAAAAAAAAACATAATTAGAATAAAAAAATACCAAAACAGAAAGACTTTGAGATTGTTAAGACAAAACTGAATGAGAAAAAAAAAGACATTATCCTTACATCGGAAGAGCACTCTCTCGTCCTCTTCGCCACCAGACCTCCTCCGTCAGAAGATGATGAACTCATTATAGGTTGCGCCGCCTCAGCAGCCCACGGCACCACTTGATTCTCAACTTCATCTTCATCACTGTACTCCTCGTCTTCATCATCATCATAAGACTCAGCGCCATCATCGAAACCATTAATCTCCTGTCCTGGATTCTCCGTCGTGCTGGTTGCACCGTCTCCACCGCCGCCGCCGGATTTAAGAGCGACGCATGCGTCGCAGACGGAGAAGGTTGGCCCGATACGAAGCCCCGTGGCTTTCCACGGCGTAGGAGACTGGCAGACGCTGCAGAGAAGACATCGTGTGTGCTTAGCCACTAGAAAATTAGCGCCGTGAACTTTGCTGTCGCAGTTCCAGCAGAGGCTCGCTTGATCTGACTCGCAGTGCATTCTTGCAACACCTTCGCATAAATCACACTTCTTACCCATTAGATTCACTCTCAAATCTTCTGTGTTTACTTTGTTTCTCTATCTCGTTGTCTCCTTTTTTTTTTTTAAACACACGTTGTCTCCTTTGTTTGTTCTTGTTTTTTTTAGGGACAGAAAGAAAAGGAAAGTGCAAGTTGCAAGAAGAGAGTTTTGTGTTTTTCTGTGTCAAAAGAAATCTATTTCTCTTCTTTGGTTTCACAATGGTTTTGTTTTATAGAGCACCCATGTTTTTAAATTCTGTGGTCAGGAACCATCTCATTTTCATTTAACTAATACTATACTTACTTTCTTAAAGGATTGAATTAGTCAGAAGATTGGGTTGATCTTTTATACTAAAGAGATTGGTTCGATCTTTTATTTTATGAGATTTTTGTTTGGATAACCATCAGTTCTATTTCTGTATCTGAAATTATTCATTTTCACTGAGCACATAGTGGTTTCTTTATTGTTTAAGAGTTTAAGCCTTATCCTCGAATCTCTTTTTTTTTGGGGGGATAATGATGATTATGTTTAACTTTTAGTAGCACTTGACAAAACGTTTTTGAGATATTTTAGTTTCATAATCGTACAATTTTTCAATAAATACTAATAAGTCCTGTAACAATCAGTTTGATCAGCGATTAAAACCCATAGATTTAAGAAGCTACAAAAACTTGTGTGTTTAAACCACATTTAGTATGTACTTTACTTACATTTAGAGCAATTCTTTTTGAGAATGATTATATGTTTTTTTCAAAACTAAAAAAAATATGTTTTATATGTATTTTCCACTAGTATTTCAGTCGTGATTTGGTAATGCGAATATCATATGACAAGAATGTCAAATGAGTTTGGCTATGGGGTTTAATTGTTTAAATCGTCGGTTACTAGAAAAATGGATCTCAAATATATAGTATAAATACTATATATACTGTATGGTTTAATATGTACTATAGTTTAATTAATTTGAAAACCACTTAATGCGTATGGGCCATGGCGACCAACCCTTTGGTTAAGTTTCGAGATATTTTGTATGGAGATTTTTTAGTAGGTGACGTGGCGAGATGTCAGCCATGGAAGACAGAGAGAGAGATTCTGCCCTGTCCTGCGTGGACGATAATAGAAGTTCAGTGGGCCCCAGTACTCTCTCTCAGAGTCATCTTTCTTTTATAACCACTTATGAAATATTATGTAAAGCGTGTGTTTATTGATTCACATGAATGTGTTTATATACAAGAGATGACATCCTTATCCTAGAATAACTAAGTATTTAGATAATTACAACATAATAATCTATCATTATCTCTATACCCTCCCTCAAGTTGGAGGTGAAAGATCATGAACCTCTAACTTGGAAAGAAGATATGAAAATGTAGTA